CAGAGCCGGATCGCTCCAGTACAGATCCACGAAATGCGTACCACGAGGTATTGAAGACCTCCAGATTACACTGGAACGAGAAGTACGTGGTGTTGTACGGATGCTGATGCGGCGCATTCATCCATCCAGTACACCAGAGCTGACGAGCATCGAGAGCCGGAGTGGATCGCTGGAACGACCTTGGACTCGACCAGTGGGCCAAAGACTCTGCGTAAGATGGAGTAGCTTCACTTAGCTAGCAGAACGAAAAAAATCAAGTGATACTGTCTCTGCTACTTCGCGTTAAGTAGACAGTCGAGCGCGTCGCCTTCAAAGACACTTTGAGAGGCCTCGAAAGATCTTGCAAAGGAAACATTCCGCAGCACTTGGCACACCTCATCAAATGTTGGACGGCAACTTGGCTCGCCGTCCCAACATCGCTTCATTAATTCCTGCAACAAACAAACTAATTATCCAGAGAAGGCAATGGGAGCATCAAGTACCGGAAGGTATTTGTTACCTGACACTCGCGCGGGCAATCCACTGTCGGAACGCGGAAGCGCTCTCCTGCGAGGACACGTCTCTTAATATCGGAGACATCGTAGCCTCGAAACGGAATATCGCGGCTGAAAATCTATCAGCGTGGACACATTAGAGCAGCTAGGCGCCAAGTCACTAGTGATGTTTCTCACCTCCCATAGAAGAATTCCGAACATGAAGACATCCACAGCTTTGGAGAACGGTTGTCCGCTCAGCAGTTCAGGCGGCATGTAGCTGGGCGTCCCTGCCGTCGTGAATTTTGTGCTACTCAACAGCGTTGAGTTGTGTACAAGCGTGAACAATACGGAAGAAACTCACCGTACGAGACCAAAATCGCAGAGCTTGGCTACACCTTTTTGGTCAAGCAGGACGTTGGCACTTTTCAGGTCACTACGCAATTGACAGAAAAGGTAGTCTTCATTTCGAAAGAAAGTGTATGCATGAAAAACAAGACAAATGTACCGATGGATAACCGCAGGTCTCCTAGAGTGCAAGAAGCGCATACCGTCTGCAATCTCTCCCTTCCAGCGATTGTAAATATAATAATAATCCGGCAAAAATTGCAGGTAATTTGAGTTGACTCACGGCGATACGAGTCATTTGTTGGGAGCTCAAGTACGTATTGGTTCCGTGGAGCAAGTGATGAAGCGAAAAGTCGCAGAGTTCCATCACCATGCACAGATTGGGCGGCTCTAAGCATGCTCCGATCAAGTTGACCACATTCGGATGCCTCAGTTTGCTATTAAAGCCTGGCATGTTAGATTCGTTGACATCTAGAAGCATCACCACAGGCTATCTGAATATGTATTCCCGGGGCACTCCTCTACTCGCGTTTCCATCCCCAACAAAACCTTGCAAACCGTCGGTGAACTCCGAAAGGCGGGCGCTAAGAAGACGAGTATTTTTAAATTTATTAAGGAAAAGTCGGACAGCAATCCAAGTGCTCAGGACGTTCAAAATCTAGTTCGGAAATTGAAGGATCGTGAAAACGGAAAGGGACCAACTTCTAGCGCAAAACGGATGAAGACGTGGATGTCAGAGTTTGGTTACCGGCCCGGGAATGTCGGTCGTATATTCGTTGATGAAATGGATGGAAAGGTACTATTACATTTATAATTGGTTTTAACTATTGTCTAAAAATTGTGCAATTGTCATGGTAGAAAATTGCTACGTGCATTACTCTTCAAACGAAACACATGCGGTCTCTCTTCAAACAATTTCCAGAAGTCCTTCTGATTGACGCGAAATCGCTCGAAGTACAAGGTCTTCTCCTTCATGGCCCACGATACGTTCGGGAAAGGTCAATTTGTGCAGCACTCTCTGCTACAGAACGAGCGATGGCCGACGTTGCTAACAGCGCTGGAGGAATTTAAGGCTAACAACCCTGCAAGGACAAAGTTGCAGTGTATCCTTATTGACAAGGACCTCACCGAGATGTCAGTGTTGAAGAAGGCCTTCCCCAACGTTGCTATTTTGCTCTACCAGTTCCACGTTCTTAAATATTTGCGAGAAGAAATCGCATCGTCCGACTACGGGTTCAGTTCTACGACCCGATGAATTCCACCTGCGGGGCCAATATTCGACCACTTGCCGAGAAGTTGGTGGCGATGCTACCTGATTTCGTCCCAAGAAAATATCGAACCCGTGCCTACCAAAGTGATCTCGGAGTGCAAGTCGATAACTACAACTGTGGGATTTACATGCTAGTAGCCTTCGAGATATTTTGTGGCGCCGAATGTCTTAGTTTGCTGAGTAAAAAGGAGATTTAGTATCTGCGTGCGCTATAGATATCTGTGCATGTGCATTTAGCGATAACAAGTTAGTTCATTTTTCTAATGCAGACTAGTGCTGGATGTTCGCCACAATTTCATTTGATGGATACCTGGATGCTATGCATGCAATAGCAAAATGTCAGAATGACACACACGTGTGTTCTTCTCTCTACATGCTGCTCTGCTCTCTCAATGAGCTTCCGGCTATACGTATATTTTCGAGGACACTTCATTAGATGACCCTCCGGCTCTAGCTAAGTCGGC